ACCAGGAACCCTTCTAGTTAAGACAGAAACAGACACAGAGCCAAACATAAACAAGCAGACACAGAGACAGGTAGGCAGAGAGCCAGACATAAAGACGCAGACTCAGAGACAGGTACGCAGAAAGACAGGCATAATCAAACAGACACAGAGACAGGTAGACAGAGAGCCAGACATAAACAGACTCAGAGACAGGTAGGCAGAAAGGGAGGCATAATCAAACAGACACAGAGACAGGTGGGCAAAAAGACAGGCATAATCAAACAGACACAGAGACTGGAAAGTAGAGTCAGACAGAAAGAAACAGACACAGAGACTGGTAGGCAGTGAGACAGCAGGAGACAGGAATGAGAAAATGGAAAGAAGAGGGAGGAGGAGGAAGAGTGAGGGAGTGTGGAGAGGAGTTAGAGAAGAAAGCTGACTGGGAAAGAGGGAATGCCGACGCGAGAGACAGCCGTGCTAATTGTTTGTTCAGAGGGTTCGGCCAGGGTGTCACTGAATCAAACTCGGGGAGCAGCTGTTCGGACTGCGAGGGGTGACAGGTGAGCACGGGTCGCTGTTAGGAGGTCAGACTCTCAGCCAGAGAGACAGGAGGTCAGACAGACACCCAGGGAGACAGGAGATCAGGCAGACAGAGAGACAGGAGGTCAGACAGACCAGACAGACACTCAGAAAGACAGGAGGTCAGACAGACAGAGAGACAGGAGGTCAGACAGCTGCATGCTGACCGCTGGGGTGGACATCACCCGGCCCCACCTGTCCTCCTGGAATTTCTCTCTTCTCCCTGCTGCCTTTGCATCTCCTTCCAGACTTCCTGTCCATCTAGACACCCATCTCATATGCCTTTACAGCAAAGGTTTATATACATCTCTGCCCCATGCCCTTATAGCACTGCTCATTCTCTGAGACCAGTGTGGAAACACAGACACTCCAGATTCCCTTATAACAGCCTGTGACCAGTGTGTAAAGACACAGACACTCCAGATTCTCTTATAACAGCCTGAGACCAGTGTGTAAACACACAGACACTCCAGATTCTCTCATAACAGCCTGTGACCAGTGTGTAAAGACACAGACACTCCAGATTCCCTTATAACAGCCTGTGACCAGTGTGTAAACACACAGACACTCCAGATTCCCTTATAACAGCCTGAGACCAGTGTGTAAACACACAGACACTCCAGATTCTCTCATAACAGCCTATGACCAGT